CTCCGATTTGATGGTAGGTCGCTGATGTGATGGGGGGGGACTCTGATGATGTGATGGGGGGGACCATGATGTGATGGGGGGACCTGATGTGATGGGGGGATGTGACCCCTGATATGATGGGGGGACCTCGGATGCGAGGGAGGAAGGGAGACTTCTGAACTGATGAGGGGACTCCGATGTGAAGAGCAACTCTGTAATGGGGGCTGTAGGGGGAGCCTCTGATGTCCACTCAACCTGGAAATAGAAGCTCTCCTCCCATGATGCAATGGGTCTTTCACGGCATGAATTGGGCCGCCAGTAACATAAGGAGACTGGATTTTGAAACTGAAGCCCGGGACACCCTACTGACCACGCCCCACTTTTATTGAAGCCATGACAGGGGTGGAGCAGGGGGGGCAAAGATAATGGAATACGAAACGCGTCTCTTCAAATGTTGGGCGTAGCCAAATTGTGCCAACAGTGGGAGGGGCCTAAAGGGGTATGATTTAATACCACCTGAGCCTACCTTGCTCTGGGTCAAGAGTGCGGGCCCTGCAGGTCGCAAGCACCTGGGACAAAATCGGGGCATTTAATCTCTTAGGGACAGCCCCCCAAAATCGGGGTCTGTCCCGGGGACATCTGGTCACCCTACTGTACCGGATCAGGGGCGGCCTGACCATTTGGAAACTCGGGCACTGCCCGAGGGCCCGGGGTCAGTCGGGGGCCCCATGAGATGCCCCTGGTACCTTTTTCATAGGCTTTTTTGAGTTTGGGCAAGGACACAGGGGCCCCATGATCCCCTATTGCCCGGGGGCCCCATAAGTTGTCAGTCTGCCCCTGTACCGGATATTGTTTTTCAGCTTGCAGTGGTCAATCCACGCCGAAGTAATCCCTCCGTGTTCATTACCCATCGGGGGAGGGGGGTGGTCTCTGTCCTCTTGCTGCATTCTCCATAATGTAGAACAAGAATAACAGCAGTTGGGAACCCTCCAATGGCTGTGAGGTGGGCGGAGTTGAGAATCGCAATCTCCCCATTTAAGTTGCAAAGGTAGGCAAGACGAGGGGTAGGCGACTTATTGGGCCCCCACCCAACGTGTAGAATATCAGATCGGGGTGGAGGGGCCCTTGAAGTCTGGTGGCACGGGGCCGAGGCTGTTAACAAAGAGTTATGCGGAGAATTCCTCCCTCGTATGAGGGGTGCGAAGTATGCGGACAAACTGGAACAGCATGGCGTGCGTTCTCATCGCTTCATCGCCTAGGAAGCTGCCAGCCTGACGTGACGCCAAAGAGCGAGCGAGGAGAATGGCAATGGAAAGGCGTGCCGAGGGCGGCCATGTTGGCCTGCGACCCTTCATTAATCTATACCCCCCCTCCCCCCCATTACCCACCAAACAGATTTGTCCTTTAACTCCCACTTGAGCCTCCAGGATCGAAGGAACTGAAATCCAATGAATGAAAGGGATGGGGACATACTGGGGAGGAAAGGGCTAGATGATGCTGGGCGCCCTCCAGCCAGGAAATGAGGCAGGCTCTAATTATTTCAAGGGGCAGGGACAGTCAGGCTGGGGAGGAAAGTGCTAGAGGATGCTGGACGCTCTCCAGCCAGGAAATAAGGCGGAACTCTAATGATTGAAAAGGCAAGGCTGGGGAGGAAAGGGCTAGAGGATGCTGGATGCCCTCCAGCCAGGAAATGAGATGGGCTCTAATTATTTCAAGGGACGGGGCCAGGGAGTCAGGCTGGGGAGGAAAGCGCTAGATGATGCTGAACGCCCTCCAACCAGGAAATGAGGCGGAGCTCTAATTATTGAAAGGGGTGTGGCTATGGACAGTCAGGCTGAGGAGGAAAGTGCCAGATGATGCTGGATGCCCTCCAGCCAGGAAATGAGGCGGAGCTCTGATTGAAAGGGGAGGGCCCAGGGACAGTCAGGCTGGGGGGACTAGATGATGCTGGATGTCCTCCAGCCAGGAAATGAGGTGGAACTCTAATGACTGAAAGGGGCGGGGCCAGGGACAGTCAGGCTGGGGGGGGGCTAGATGATGCTGGACGCCCTGCAGCCAGGAAATGAGGCGGAGCTCTAATTATTTCAAGGGGCGGGGCCAGGGACAGTCAAGCTGAGGAGGAAAGTGCCAGATGATGCTGGATGCCCTCCAAACAGGAAATGAGGCGGAGCTCTGATTGTCCCTTGCCCCGCCCCTTTCAATCAGACTGCTTAAATTGTGATGGTGTGTTTATTAGGCGTTGCATACCCAGTCCTGACATGCCAACATGTTTCTAAAAAAAAGTAAAAAATATATTAATACAACAACACAGAATAATATTGATGACATTTTCTAGAATTTCCAGATATTCATATTTTTATTTTTAGTAAAAAAAAAAAGTAAAAACATTTTTTGAAAAAAAAAAGTAAAAATATATTAATACAATAATTTGGTGATGCTATGCGATGACATTTCTAGAATTTTCAGATATTCATATATATTTTTTTTTTTAGAATAAAAAGAAAAAAACTTTTTCTACTTTTGTAAAAAAGCAAAAATATATTAATACAACAATGTAGTAAAGATATTTTATGACATTTCTAGAATGTTCAGATATTCATTTATTTAAAAAAAAAAAGCCTTTTTCTATTTTTCTAAAAAGAAAAAGGAAAAATATATTAATACAACAATTTAGTGATGCTATGTGTGATGAAATTTCTAGAATTTTCAGATATTCAGATATTTTTATTTTTAGAATAAAAAGAAAAAAAACTTTTTCTACTTTTCTAAAAAAAAAGCAAAAACATATTAATACAACAAGATATTTTATGACATTTCTAGAATGTTCAGATATTCATTTATTTTTAGAAAAAGCCTTTTTCTATTTTTCTAAAAAAAAAAAAGGAAAAATATATTAATACAACAATTTAGTGATGTTACGTGATGAAATTTATAGAATTTTCAGATATTCATATATTTTTCTAAAAAAAAAAAACAGTAAAAAATATATTAATACAATTTAGTGATGCTATGTGATGACATTTCTAGAATGTTCAGATATTCATTTATTTAAAAAAAAAAAAAAAAAAAGCCTTTTTCTATTTTTCTAAAAAGAAAAAGGAAAAATATATCAATACAACAATTTAGTGATGCTATGTGATGAAATTTCTAGAATTTTCAGATATTCAGATATTTTTATTTTTAGAATAAAAAGAAAAAAACTTTTTCTACTTTTCTAAAAAAAAAAAGCAAAAACATATTAATACAACAAGATATTTTATGACATTTCTAGAATGTTCAGATATTCATTTATTTTTAGAAAAAAGCCTTTTTCTATTTTTCTAAAAAAAAAAAAAAAAAAAAAAATATATTAATACAACAATTTAGTGATGTTATGTGATGAAATTTATAGAATTTTCAGATATTCATTTAAAAAAAAAAAAAAAGCCTTTTTCTATTTTTCTAAAAAGAAAAAGGAAAAATATATTAATACAACAATTTAGTGATGCTATGTGATGAAATTTCTAGAATTTTCAGATATTCAGATATTTTTATTTTTAGAATAAAAAAAAAAAAAAAACTTTTTCTACTTTTCTAAAAAAAAAAAAAAGCAAAAACATATTAATACAACAAGATATTTTATGACATTTCTAGAATGTTCAGATATTCATTTATTTTTAGAAAAAAGCCTTTTTCTATTTTTCTAAAAAGAAAAAGGAAAAATATATTAATACAACAATTTAGTGATGTTACGTGATGAAATTTATAGAATTTTCAGATATTCATATATTTTTCTAAAAAAAAGTAAAAATATATTAATACAATTTAGTGATGCTATGTGATGACATTTCTAGAATGTTCAGATATTCATTTATTTAAAAAAAAAAAGCCTTTTTCTAAAAAGAAAAAGGAAAAATATATTAATACAACAATTTAGTGATGCTATGTGATGAAATTTCTAGAATTTTCAGATATTCAGATATTTTTATTTTTAGAATAAAAAGAAAAAAACTTTTTCTACTTTTCTAAAAAAAAAAAAAGCAAAAACATATATTAATACAACAAGATATTTTATGACATTTCTAGAATGTTCAGATATTCATTTATTTTTTAATAAAGCCTTTTTCTATTTTTCTAAAAAAAAAAAAGGAAAAATATATTAATACAACAATTTAGTGATGTTATGTGATGAAATTTATAGAATTTTCAGATATTCATATATTTTTCTAAAAAAAAAAAGTAAAAATATATTAATACAATTTCGTGATGCTATGCGATGACATTTCTAGAATGTTCAGATATTCATTTATTTAAAAAAAAAAAAGCCTTTTTCTATTTTTCTAAAAAGAAAAAGGAAAAATATATTAATACAACAATTTAGTGATGCTATGTGATGAAATTTCTAGAATTTTCAGATATTCAGATATTTTTATTTTTAGAATAAAAAGAAAAAAACTTTTTCTACTTTTCTAAAAAAAAAAGCAAAAACATATTAATACAACAAGATATTTTATGACATTTCTAGAATGTTCAGATATTCATTTATTTTTAGAGAAAGCCTTTTTCTATTTTTCTAAAAAAAAAAGTAAAAATATATTAATACAATTTAGTGATGCTATGTGATGAAATTTATAGGATTTTCAGATATTCATATGTTTTAATTTTTTTTAGAAAAAAATACAATACAAAAATGTCATTGCTGGAATTTTTTCAGGTATATTCATTTTTGTTAAAACAAATTATTACTAATTTTTTTTTTCAATAAAGATATTAAAAAATAATAATAATAAAAAAACAAAATATATATATATATATTATTATTATTATTATTATTTATTAACAAAATAAAATAAGTAATAGGTATATGATTGGAGATGTAGAGGACGTTTTTTGTTTTTTTTTTCCTCGAATGTGAACAGGTTATGATGACGCAATCATTTCTGATGTATTATATGACGGGTCCACTATCACTTGACTGTTGCCCCCCCCCCCCCCCTATGTGCGGTTTGATGGTGACGCGTCCGTTGTGTTTGCAGGCCAGCATGGAGGAGTATGACGCCCTGTTGCAGGAGCTCTCCGAGAACATCACCAACGAGGATCTGGACCAGCTAAAGTCGGCGTGCAAAGAGGACATCCCCAGCGAGAAAAGCGAGGAGATCGCCTCCTGCCAGGACTGGTTCAGTTTCCTGGAGAAGCACGATAAATTGGCAAAAGGTAGGACATGGGCTGCCTTCCCGTAATGCGCGATAAAACGCGTAAAGCACATTGGGTCACATGATGCAAAGAGGTAACACTGAGATCTAATTAAAAAAAAAATTCTCAAACATTTATTTCCTATGACCATCAGCTCCATCTAGTGGCCGTAGTGATCATTATCCTGATTGAGGTATTTCCAGAACATACAGCATTATGGCCACTAGATGGAGTTGGCAATCATAGGAAATGAACATATCAGACGTATTGTTGGGGTTTTCGGGGTGATTGAGGGATTCTCCCAGCAGAACCACCCACCCCCCTGTGAAGTAGCTGCTAAATCTGGGGGAAATGTACCTAAAGCCAAAACTGTTTTTTTTCTTGAGATAGAATAGGAAACGAATAAAACACAAAACAGGTTTTGTGAAGAAGGGCCGTTTCAGACAGTTGTCACTGGAAGAGGTGTCCCCATTGGAAGATTTTGCTCACATCTGGGGACAACTGTATCATTTTTTATTTTCCCTTCCTGTTCTGGTGATAGGTGTAACATTTTGGATATCCCCTCACTTCCTGTTCTGGTAATAACATTTTGGATTTATTCTCACTTCCTGTTCTTGTGACAAATATAAAAAAAATGTATTTCCCCTCCCTTCCTGTTTTGGTGATAACTATCATTTTGGATTTCCCCTCACTTCCTCTTCTGGGGACAACTGTAACATTTTTTATTTCCCCTCACTTCCTGTTCTGGTGATAACATTTTGGATTCATTCTCACTTCCTGTTCTTGTGACAAATAAAAAAAATGTATTTCCCATCACTTCCTGTTTTGGTGATAACGGTATCATTTTGGATTGCCCTTCAATTCCTGTCCTGGTGACAGCTGTAATAATTTGGATTTCCCCTCACTTCCTGTTCTGGGGACAGCTGAAACGTTTTGGATTTCCCTTCACTCCATGTTCTGGTGATAACATTTTGGATTTCCCCTCACTTCCTGTTCTGGTGACAACTGTAACATTTTGGATTTCCCCATACTTCCTGTTCTGGTGACAACTGTAACATTTTGGATTTCCTCTCACTTCCTGTCCTGGTGACAACTGTATCATTTTGGATTTCCTCTCCCTTCCTGTTCTGGTGACAACTGTAACATTTTGGATTTCATCTCACTTCCTGTTCTGGTGACAACTGTAACATTTTGGATTTCCTCTCACTTCCTGTCCTGGTGACAACTGTATCATTTTGGATTTCCTCTCCCTTCCTGTTCTGGTGACAACTGTAACATTTTGGATTTCATCTCACTTCCTGTTCTGGTGACAACTGTAACATTTTGGATTTCCTCTCACTTCCTGTCCTGGTGACAACTGTAACATTTTGGATTTCCTCTCACTTCCTGTCCTGGTGACAACTGTAACATTTTGGATTTCCCCTCACTTCCTGTTCTGATGACAACTGTAACATTTTGGATTTCCCCTCACTTCCTGTTCTGATGACAACTGTAACATTTTGGATTTCCCCTCACTTCCTGTTCTGATGACAACTGTAACATTTTGGATTTCCCCTCACTTCCTTGGTGATGGTCACCAGGACAATCACCAGGTGATTGGGCACACAAACGGCAATAAAGACCCAACAGCGGTTCTAGCCCCTCCCCCATGCCATCCAATACAAAAATTTAGATACATTTTGTCTTTTTTAGTTTTCTCGCCCCATGTTGCCCCATAAGGAAACCTTGTAATCCTCTATCTGCCATGTATTTATGTATTTACAATGGTGGGAGATGGAACTGGGCGTCGGTGACTCGCGGTGTTTTTCTCACGCGGTCCGTTTAGCGGCCGACGAGGGCTAATTACAGAAAATCCTGCGCGCAGACGTCCAGCGGCGTAACATCTTCAGAATTTCAGACCGCCAGACCTCTCGGGCCTCGGCGCAGCACCGCCTGTCAGCACTGAGCAAAGATTCCTGTTGCCATGCCAATACTTTTCTGATCTGTTCCGAGGGACCACCGCCGGCGCTGCGGCTCCCCTGTTGATTTGAGAAAACGTTTAACCCCTTGTCATCCTGGGAGGTTTATTTACTGACTTGGAGCAAAAACACAATCCCTGCGTCTTATCTGAAAGGGCAAATAATGGGTGTGGCTTCATCAAGCTGCAAAGGCGCTTCGGGCGCTCTATAGTGTCTAAGGCATGCTAAAATGACATTTATATCAACTGAGAGGCCAGTTTAGCATGCCTTAAGTGCAGTTTAAGGAGTCTTCAAATACCTTGGCACTCTCTCTTTTTTTTTTTTCTACAAATTGTGAGACATTATTCCAAAGGTGGAGTCAGAGTGCTCCATTCTTCCTCCATACTCGGGGTCCTTGGGCCTCTCCATTCTTCCTCCACACTCGGGGTCCTTGGGCCTCTCCATTCTTCCTCCATACTCGGGGTTCTTGGGCCTCTCCATTCTTCTTCCACACTCGGGGTCCTTGGGCCTCTCCATTCTTTCTCCACACTCGGGGTCCTTGGGCCTCTCCATTCTTCCTCCATACTCGGGGTCCTTGGGCCTCTCCATTCTTCCTCCATACTCGGGGTCCTTGGGCCTCTCCATTCTTCCTCCACACTCGGGGTCCTTGGGCCTCTCCATTCTTCCTCCACACTCTGGGGTCCTTGGGCCTCTCCATTCTTCTTCCACACTCGGGGTCCTTGGGCCTCTCCATTCTTCCTCTATACTCGGGGTCCTTGGGCCTCTCCATTCTTCCTCCACACTCGGGGTCCTTGGGCCTCTCCATTCTTCCTCCATACTCAGGATCCTTGGTTTCCAAATGACATGCAAAAGTTGCTCTCATCAGAAAAGAGGACTTTGGACCACTGAGCAGCAGACCAGGTCTGTTTTTCTTTAGCCCAGGTAAGACGCTTCTGACGTTGTTTGTTGTTCAGGAGCGGCTTGAGAAGAGGAATACGACATTTGAAGCCCATGTCCAGGATCCGTCTGTGTGTGGTGGCTCTTGATGCACTGACTCCAGCCTCAGTCCACTCCTTGTGAAAGTCCCCAACACTTTTGAATGGCCTTTTCCTGACAATCCTCTCCAGGCTGCGATCATCCCTGCTGCTTGTGCACCTTTTTCTTCCACACTTTTCCCTTCCACATAACTTTCTATTAATGTGCTTTGATACAGCACTTTGGGAACATCCAACTTCTTCTGCAATTCCCTTTTGAGGCTTTCCCTCCTTATGGAGGGTGTCAGTGATGGTGTCAGGTCAGCAGTCTTTCCCATGATTGTGATTCCTACTGAACCAGACTGAGAGACCATTTAAAGGCTCAGGAACCCTTTGCAGGTGTTATGGCTTAATTATCTGATTAGAGTGGGACACTTTGAGCCGAGATTATTCCACCTTTTCACAATATTCTCATTTTCTGAGATTGTGGATTTGGGGTTTTCATGAGCTGTAAGCCATAATCATCACAATGATGACAAATCACGGCTTGAACTATCTTGCTTTGCATGTAATGAGTCTCATATATTAGTGTCACCTTTTAAGTTGCTGCACTGAAATAAATGAATGAATGCAGCAGATTCTCATTTTTCCAGTTTCACCTGTATATATGTATTGTATCTCCAACCCACTTTTTTGTTTTTCGTCTTGGATAAAGTGGGGGAGGGCTCACACTGCTGGCATTAGTGGTGAATTGAAATCGCATCTAATGAATGTGAATGTTGGCATCTTAAGGTGCGATTTGCTGCAACGCGATTTCCAAACAGTTCTTGCGTGACTTTCTGCTGTTTTGTTGCGATTTCACATACATAGAAAATAATGGAATTTCACTGCAAATGGCAAGAATTCGTTGATAGTCACCAGTCACACTGCTGCGATTTGTGTGCAATTTCAGGTGCGATTTCAATTCGCAGATTGCAGCAGTGTGACCGAGCGCAATATCTTCACAGGTAGCAAGAAATCACACCTTAAATTGTGTTGAAACTGGACAAATCGCGTGATTTTAAATTGCAGTGGTGTGACCGGTGATTAACACCCCGCTCACATCGGGTGCGATCTGCCATGTGACTTGGAAATCATATCACCCTATTGTCCGCAATTGGAGCGGTCATATATAGGATGTACATTACAAGTATATAGATGTACATTACAAGTATATAGATGTATAGTATAGAGGATGTACATTACAGGTATATAGATGTATAGTATACAGGATGTACATTACAGGTATATAGATGTATAGTATAGAGGATGTACATTACAGGTATATAGATGAATAGTATACAGGACGTACATTACAGGTATATAGATGTATAGTATACAGGATGTACATTACAAGTATATAGGATGTACATTACAGGTATATAGATGTATAGTATATAGGATGTACATTACAGTATATAGATGTATAGTATACAGGATGTACATTACAAGTATATAGGATGTACATTACAGGTATATAGATGTATAGTATATAGGATGTACATTACAGGTATATAGATGTTATAGTATACATGATGTACATTACAGGTATATAGATGTATAGTATACAGGATGTACATTACAGGTATATAGATGTATAGTATACATGATGTACATTACAGGTATATAGATGTATAGTATACAGGACGTACATTACAGGTATATAGATGTATAGTATACAGGATGTACATTACAGGTATATAGATGTATAGTATAGAGGATGTACATTACAGGTATATAGATGTATAGTATACAGGATGTACATTACAGGTATATAGATGTATAGTATAGAGGATGTACATTACAGGTATATAGATGTATAGTATACAGGATGTACATTACAGGTATATAGATGTATAGTATACAGGATGTATATAGATGTATAGTATACAGGATGTACATTACAGGTATATAGATGTATAGTATACAGGATGTACATTACAGGTATATAGATGTATAGTATACAGGATGTACATTACAGGTATATAGATGTATATAGTATACAGGATGTACATTACAGTATATAGATGTATAGTATACAGGATGTATATAGGACATACATTATGAATCTCTAGGATGTACACGATTCGGATCCGATATATACTCTGTAAGGATATAGGATGTATAACATTTGGCGCACCTTTTCGGTCACGAATAGATTTTTGGCCGGGAGATATGTTATTGTGGCTTCATGAATGTAGGTGAGTATGTCCAGTTTTGGAATACTCCCCCCCCCCCCCCCCCCCCCACACCTTTCGGCGGGGCTGAACCCGCAATGAGTTGGCGCACACGTACGGACACGCGCACACTGTCACCGCTCTTGTTTGCACAGGGGATTGTTCCCGGCGCAGGATAATTAAAGTGACATTTGTGTCTGTGGCGGAGTGCTGGAAGAGGGTGACCTTTCCTTCTCTAAGTCTAGTCCTTGTCAGCTGGGCTCCCTGGCAACATCGGCTTTGCTTCTCTTACTTCAGGCAATTTGTGTTTTTGATCCTTGTGTTTGAGAGCCATACACGGGAGACCGACTGCCTGCGCCACATGCCAATGAGGATGGTGGGCTACATACCTGTATGGGGGGGGGGGGGGGCGAGAATCGGAGAATAGGAGAGAAGAAGAGAGTGAAGGACAGATATAAGAGAGGGTGAGAGAAAAGAGGGGAGAGGAGAGGGAGAGAGGGTGAGAGAAAAGAGAAGTGAGGGGGGAGAGGTAGAGAGAAGTGAGGGGGGAGAGGGAGAGAGAAAAGAGGAGGGAGGGAGAGAGGAGAGAGGGTGAGAGAAAAGAGGGGGAGAGGGAGAGAGGAGAGGGAGGAGAGGGAGAGAGGAGAGGGAAAGAGGAGGGGGGAGGGGAGAGGGGAAAGAGGGTGAGAGAAAAGAGGGGGGAGGGTGAGAAAAGAGGTAAAAAAAAAAAAGAGAGAGAGGGGGGAGAGGAGAGTGAAAAGGGAGGGGGAAGAGAAAAGAGGTAAAGAAAAGGGGGGGGAGAGAAAAGAGAGGGTGTGAGAGAAAAGAGAGGAGGAGAGGGTGAGAGAGAAAAAAAAAGGGGGTAAAGAGGAGAGGAGTGGGTGAGAAAAAAGAGAGGAGGAGTGGGTGAGAGAGAAAAAGAGAGGAGGAGGGAGGGTGAGAGAAAAAGGAGGAGGAGAGGGTGAGAGAAAAAAAGAGAGGAGGGGGTGAGAGAAAAAAAAAGAGGGAGGGGGAGAGAGAGAAAAGAGAGGTAAAGAAAAGAGGAGAGGGGGTGGGAGAGAAAAGAGGAGGAGAGGGTGAGAGAGGAAAGAGGGGGAGGGAGAGGGGAGAGAAAAGAGAGGAGAGGGGGGAGAGGGTGAGAGAAAAGAGAGGAGAGGGGGGGAGAGGGAGAGAGGAGAAAAGGAGGAGGGGGGAGGGGAGGGGGGAGAGGGAGAGAGGGGTGAGAGAAAAAGAGGGGAGAGGGAGAGAGGAGAGGGGGGAGGGAGAGGGAGAGAGGAGAGGGAAAGAGGAAGAGGGAAAGAGGAGAGGGGGGAGAGGAAAGAGGGTGAGAGAAAAGAGGGGGAGGGGAGAAAAAGAGGTAAAAAAAAAAAAAAAGAGAGAGGGGGGGGGGGGAGAGAGAGTGAAAAGGGAGGGGGAAGAGAAAAGAGGTAAAGAAAAGGGGGGGGAGAGAGGAGGGGGGGGGGAGAAAGAGAGGGTGTGAGAGAAAAGAGAGGGGGGGATAGAAAAGAGAGGGGGAGAGGGTGAGAGAGAGAAAAAAAGAGGTAAAGAGGAGAGGAGTGGGAGAGAAAAGAGAGGGAGGACGGTGAGAGAAAAAAGAGAGGGAGGAGAGGGTGAGAGAAAAAAAGAGAGGAGGGGGGGAGAGAGAAAAGAGAGGTAAAGAAAAGAGGAGAGGGGGGGAGCGAAAAGAGGAGGAGAGGGTGAGAGAGAAAAGAGAGGAAGGGGACGGTGAGAGAGAGAGAGAGGAGGAGGGGAGGTGAAGAGAAAAGAGAGGGAGGAGGAGGGGTGAGAGAGAGGAGGGAGAGGGGGGAGGGTGAGAAAACAGATAGGGAGAGTGAGGGGAGAGAAGAGAGGGAAGTGGGGAGGAAAAACAGATGGGGACAGAGAAGAGAGGGGAGTGGGGTAAGAGTGGAGTGCGGGGAAAGTAAGAGGAGAAAGGAGTGGGGCCGAGAACAGGTAAAGAGAGGAGAGGGAGAGAGATAGAGATGGAGAGGAGAGTTATTTCTAGAATGGATGAAGTGGATGGTTTATGTATCTCATGTTATTTCTTGGATGGGGTGGATGAGATGGATGATGTGGATGGGGTGGATGAGATGGATTGGGTGGATGACAGGATGGATGGGATGGATGACATGGATGGGATGGATGACATGGATAGGATGGATGGGGTGGGTGATGTGGATGAGGTGGATGATGTGGATGGGATGGGTGATGTGGATGAGGTGGATGGGGTGGATGATGTGGATGACATGGATGGGATGGATGACATGGATGGGGTGGATGAGATGGATTGGGTGGGTGACATGAATGGGATGGATGACATGGATGGGATGGATGTATGGATACTTCCATCAGGACAGATAGCAGGAGCTGTGAGAAGTGTTGCTGATGATGATATATTGGGATCTGCAGCTGGTCAGGCCATGTTACAATAAAGCTGACACACATGTGATATAAATAATACATCAGGCACATATAGAAGTGTGTTCTACCCCGAGGACAGAGACGTGGGCACAGAGACATGTGAAGGGTCACTCTAACCTGACAGGAGGAAGGAGATGGGGGACAGGCAGGAAGAAGCCATAGACCTCCTTCAAGCAGGAGAACAATGGGTGGAGGCTCAGGCCATTCTACCCTGAAACAAGCAAAGCTTTGTATTGTATGTCACACGGACATCGGGTCTGTTCCTGCAATGTACTGACATTACAGTGAAGTGCCTTTAACCTTTTCCTGCCAAACAACGGAGGCCTGTTCTAGTGATTGAAGAACAGGAAGTAACACCTCTTCTCTCGGATGGCGGTGATCACTGTCACCTGGCACTGACCATCTGAGAAAGCCCTGCTGTCCAAGGAAGGAAGGAAAATCGAAGAGAAAAGGAGGAAGGAAGGGATAAAGGGTGGATGGGAGTAAGGATGGAAGGAATAGGAGGAAGGAAGGGATGGAGCATGGAAGGAAGAAATGTAGGGAGAATGGGAGCAGGGGATGGAGAGAATATGGAAGGAAGAAAGGAGTGGAGGAAGGATGAAAAGTGTACAGGGAAGATGGGGGGAAAGAATGAAAGGGATGGAGGGAGGATGGGACAAAGGAAGAAGTAGGTGGAGAAAGATAGAAGGGAGGGATGGTGGGGGATGGGAAGTAGAAAGAGATGGAGGAAAGAAGGAATGGAGGGAGGAAGGAAGGATTGAAGAGGTAGAGGGAGCATGGAAGACAGGAATGGAAGGAGCATAGGAGTAAGGAAAAAAGGAATAGATGGAGAGAGAGGACGAGATGAATGAAGGAAGTAATGGAGGGAGGATGGAAATATCATAGGAAGTAGGGATGGATGGAGAGAGAGGACAAGATGAAAGAATGAAGGGATGGAGGGAGTATGGAAGGATCATAGGAAGTAGGGATGGATGGAGGGAGGATGAGAGGAATGAAAAAAGGCATGTAGGAGGTTAGAAAAGGATGGGAAGGAGGAAGGAAGAGATGGATGGAGAGAGGATGAGATGAATGAAGGAAGGGATGGAGGGATCATAGGAAGTAGGGATGGATGGAGAGGGAGGATGAGAGGAATGAAAAAAGGCATGGAGGAGGTTAGAAAAGGATGGACGAAGGATGGGAGGGAAGAGATGGAGGTAGGATGGAAGGATGGATGGAGGGAAGATAAGAGGAATGGTGGAAGGAAGGTAGACATTCTGTTGTCAGTCTTTTATAGGGGTTCCAGTCTTCTCATATTATTGGAGTTGTGTCCCAATGGTAGGAATGTCTGTGACATCACAGAATAAGATGTTGCTTTACTTGCTACAATCTGACCTCTCGCACCTTTTGTTTTCTAGACAACCTCGCCTACATAGAGCACATTTTTGAGATTTCTCGACGTCCTGACCTCCTCACATGGTTATCGACTACAGGACTAAAGTCTTGAAAATTTCAGCAGAGGAAGAGCTCGACACAAAACTAACTCGGATCCCTAGTGCCAAAAAATATAAAGGTGAGCCTAGGCAGCATCTACTACTATCAATTTTTTGAAGTACAAGGTGGAATCGTCACCTACATTCTAACAATATACCAGTTGAATTACGAAAAGATACATTTCCTGTGTTAGGATTTTGGAGATGTGAGCTTGGCTCCACTTATGCTACTAGTTCAGTTTGCCATTCAAACCTCTAGGACAGTCCAGCTGCAGCAGAGGTCCTGGTTCACTTGGGTAGTATGATGTCATGTGATTAGCTGCACCCACGCGTGGAATTCTGTGAGACCTCAGAAGTGAGAACACCATATTTTTAGCCGTTAGACTGGGATTCCAAGTTGGGCCAGATCATCGCCAAGAACTAAGATGGCTTTACTGTTGGAGTCTTAAAAGGGCTATAAAAATCCAGTGAGGGGGTTGGGGATGTCACCTACAACTAAAATATAACATTTGGTTAACTGATCCTTTAGGGCAGCCATTTGCAACCTGGGTTTCGTGAATTCCTTAGGTTCATCTAGAAGTTGTTAGGTGTTCCATGAGCTGTGACTGATTGGCCTCCCATTGATGGTGCCTGCATAGTTCTGTCATGACCTCCCATTGATGGTGCCTGCATAGTTCTGTCATGGCCTCCCATTGATGGTGCCTGCATAGTTCCGTCATGGCCTCCCATTGATGGTGCCTGCATAGTTCCGTCATGGCCTCCCATTGATGGTGCCTGCATAGTTCCGTCATGACCTCTCATTGATGATGCCTGCATAGTTCCGCCATGACCTCTCAGTGACGGTGCTTGCATAGTTCCGTCATGGCCTCCCACTGACGGTGCCTGCATAGTTCCGTCATGGCCTCCCACTGACGGTGCCTGCATAGTTCCGTCATGGCCTCCCACTGACGGTGCCTGCATAGTTCCGTCATGGCCTCCCACTGACGGTGCCTGCATAGTTCCGTCATGGCCTCCCACTGACGGTGCCTGCATAGTTCCGTCATGACCTCCCACTGACGGTGCCTGCATAGTTCCGTCATGACCTCTCATTGACGGTGCCTGCATAGTTCCGTCATGACCTCCCACTGACGGTGCCTGCATAGTTCCGTCATGACCTCTCTCATTTATGGTGCCTGCATAGTTCCGTCATGACCTCCCACTGACGGTGCCTGCATAGTTCCATCATGACCTCTCAGTGACGGTGCTTGCATAGTTCCGTCATCACCTCCCATTGACGGTGCCTGCATAGTTCCGTCATGGCCTCTCACTGACGGTGCCTGCATAGTTCCGTCATGGCCTCCCACTGACGGTGCCTGCATAGTTCCGTCATGGCCTCCCACTGACGGTGCCTGCATAGTTCCGTCATGGCCTCCCACTGACGGTGCCTGCATAGTTCCGTCATGGCCTCCCACTGACGGTGCCTGCATAGTTCCGTCATGGCCTCCCACTGACGGTGCCTGCATAGTTCCGTCATGACCTCCCACTGACGGTGCCTGCATAGTTCCGTCATGACCTCCCACTGACGGTGCCTGCATAGTTCCGTCATGACCTCTCATTGACGGTGCCTGCATAGTTCCATCATGACCTCCCACTGACGGTGCCTGCATAGTTCCATCATGACCTCCCACTGACGGTGCCTGCATAGTTCCATCATGACCTCATTTATGGTGCCTGCATAGTTCCATCATGACCTCTCATTTATGGTGCCTGCATAGTTCCATCATGACCTCCCACTGACGGTGCCTGCATAGTTCCATCATGACCTCTCATTTATGGTGCCTGCATAGTTCCGTCATGACCTCCCACTGACGGTGCCTGCATAGTTCCATCATGACCTCTCATTGATGGTGCCTGCATAGTTCCGTCATGGCCTTCCATTGATGGTGCCTGCATAGTTCCGTCATCACCTCCCATTGATGGTGCCTGCATAGTTCCGTCATCACCTCCCACTGACGGTGCCTGCATAGTTCCGTCATGGCCTCCCACTGACGGTGCCTGCATAGTTCCGTCATGACCTCCCACTGACGGTGCCTGCATAGTTCCGTCATGACCTCCCACTGACGGTGCCTGCATAGTTCCGTCATGACCTCTCATTGACGGTGCCTGCATAGTTCCATCATGACCTCCCACTGACGGTGCCTGCATAGTTCCATCATGACCTCCCACTGACGGTGCCTGCATAGTTCCATCATGACCTCTCATTTATGGTGCCTGCATAGTTCCGTCATGACCTCCCACTGACGGTGCCTGCATAGTTCCATCATGACCTCATTGATGGTGCCTGCATAGTTCCGTCATGGCCTTCCATTGATGGTGCCTGCATAGTTCCGTCATCACCTCCCATTGATGGTGCCTGCATAGTTCCGTCATCACCTCCCACTGACGGTGCCTGCATAGTTCCGTCATCACCTCCCACTGACGGTGCCTGCATAGTTCCATCATGACCTCTCCTTTATGGTGCCTGCATAGTTCCGTCATCACCTCCCACTGACAGTGCCTGCATTGTTCCGTCATGATCTCTCATTAATGGTGCCTACATAGTTCCGTCAAGACCAACGCCACTTGGCAAAGCCAGCAGCATAACACCAATTATCTTGTTAGCTGTCCACAAGGGTTGCGTTCTTCCTGCTGCCCACCAATGTAAGAGGCATTATTAGCATTGACCCCTGCTAGATAGGGTTCAGCAAGGGTTCCCTGAGACCTGAAAATTATTTTACTTAGGGTTCCTATGAGGTAAAAGGATGAGAAAACCTCCTCCTTTAAGCAAAAATGGGGTATACTATATCAGCCTTTCTCAACCTCCTAACCCCAGAGGAACCACAAAACAATTTTCAAGTCTCAGGGAACCCTTAAACAAACCGATTTATTATGGGGCTATGGCAAAATGTCACTTACCTAAAGACTACATATAAAGAATGCCACCCTTACGGACAGCTAAAAAGATCATTGGTGACATGCTACTGACTTTGCCAAGTGGCATTGGTCCTGGAATGAAGCAGGCATCATCAAATGGGAGGTCAATCACACCACCGTTCAAGGAGCCCCTAACAAACTCTAGAAGAACCCTAGGGTTCCATCGAACCCTGATTGAAAATAGCTGTTCTATAGGATCAACAAATCTTGGACACCTAACCATCACACCTACAGTTGTGTCCAAAATTATTCAACCCCCACTGAAATTGAGTGTTTTGGCCAGTTTGACATTGCTTTTGATCATTCAGTCATCTTGCTTACATTTACATTAAAGAGGCACTTGTAGGTCAGACAAATATAACATAACAGTTATAATGAAATAACCACAAATGTCTTTTCTGTGCTCACACAGCATTATCAGTTTTATTCAACCCCCAAGTGACATTCAATCTTAGTACTTAGTACAGCATCCTTTTACAGTTATAACAGCTTTTAAACGTGAAGCATAGCTTGACACAAGTGTCTTGCAGCGATCTACAGGTATCTTCGCCCATTCTTCATGGGCAAAGGCCTCCAGTTCAGTCACATTCTTAGGCTTGCGCACTGCAACTGCTTTCTTTAAGTCCCACCAGAGGTTCTCAATCGGATTTAAGTCTGGTGACTGCGATGGCCACTCCAAAATGTTCCAGCCTTTCCTCTGCAACCATGCTCTAGTGGACTTGGAGGTATGCTTGGGATCATTGTCCTGTTGAAAGGTCCAACGTCTCCCAAGCCTCAGGTGTGTGACGGACTGCATCACGTTTCCATCCAATATCTCCTGGTACTGAAGAGAATTCATGGTACCTTGCACACGCTGAAGCTTCCCTGTTCCTGCAGAAGCAAAACAGCCCCAAAGCATGATTGACCCTCCACCATGCTTTCACAGTAGGCAAGGTGTTCTTTTCATCATAGGCCTTGTTCTTCCTCCTCCAAACATAGCGTTGATCCATGGGCCCAAACAGTTCTAATTTTGTTTCATCAGTCCACAGAACACTATCCCACAACTTTTGTGTTTGTCCACACATGGCTTTTGGCATACTGCAGTCGACTCTTTCTTATTCTTTGGAGACAGCAAGGGGGTACGCCTGGGAGTTCTGGCACGGAGGCCTTCATTACGCAGTGTGCGTCTTATTGTCTGGGCTGAAACTTCTGTACCCACATCTGACAAATCTTTTCTCAGTTCCTCAGCAGTCACACGGGGACTTCTCTCCACTCTACGCTTCAGGTAGCGCACAGCAGTCGAAGTCAGCATCTTCTTTCTGCCACGACCAGGTAGCGTTTCAACAGTGCCCTTTGCCTTGAATTTGCGAATGATGCTTCCTAAGGTGTCTCTTGGTATGTTTAACATCTTTGCAATCTTCTTATAGCCATTGCCCTTCCTGTGAAGAGAAAATCACCTCTTCTCTTGTCTTCCTGGACCATTCTCTTGCCTTCACCATGTTTGTAACCACACCAGTAAATGTCTAGAAGGAGCTGAGTATCACAGTCATTTTAAAGCTGCCTAATTGGTGCTTATTATGCTTGATTGCTGCTCGGTGACATCCACAGGTGTTTTCAATACCTGATGGAAAGCACCTGTATGAACCTCTGTTCTTCAGAGTGGTAGTCTTTAAGGGGTTGAATAATTGTGGCAATGAAGAAACCACATAAGAACCATTTACTACTGTATTACATAAACAATTGATGTCATTTTAGTTGCATTTGGGTAGTTACAACGTCCTTGTAGGATTTGATTCTGAATACAATTCCAAATGTACACTATAGTATAGTCCCTAAACCCCTTTACAGCATTGGGGGTTGAATAATTTTGGACACAACTGTATATGAGTTTGTTGGACATCCCATTGTTTCCAAAACCTTTGTGGCTATGACATCCTCCACTCTTCTGGGAAGGATTTCCTCAAAATTTTGGAGTGTGTCTGGGGGAATTTGTGTCCTTTGAGCCAAAAGAACATTTGTGAGGTCAAGTATTCATATTGGATTGTTTGGAGAAGACCTGGCTGAACATCAGCATTCCAATTCAGCTCAAAGGTGTTCAGTAGGGTTGAGATCTGAGCTCTGTATTGACCACTTGAGTTCCTCCACCCCAAATTAATCAAACTATGTCTTGATGAAGCTGACTTTTTTTTACATAGGGGCAATCAAGCAGGGACAGAAAAGGTTCCTGACCAAACTGGCCCCACACTTGTCTAAAATAACTTTGTATGCTTTAGAATTGGAAACACCTGAACTCAATTATTTGGTGGGTCATCCACAGACTTTCCCTTCTAGTTTTATTAAATGTGATCGAAATACAAGGTCTTTTCACATGGGAAGTTTTAGACTTCAGCGGAAAGCTGGCTGCTGCCTGATCCAACACACCACAGCTGACATCAATTAATTTCCCACAAACTGCCGGGGATGTGGAGAGTTGGGCTGGGAAGGCGCGCTGTGACCCGGGTCAGACGGGAGGATAAAGGGCTGAATTGGAATTGAAATGGAAATCCAGAAAGGAAAGACAAAAAGGGCAGCAGAGGAGGGGGGAGAGCCATGCCACTTCCGCTTTCTGCTTCCAGGTGCTGAAGTGACAAGGCCAGACAGGACAACGTTACTGGTGTGGAGGGGGTGAGGGGTGCAAAAAAAAAACAAAAAGGACCATTACTTCAGTTAAAGTAGAACTAAACTCTGATAAAACAGAAAAACATGTTTTCCCTTCACATTTTAGGGCCTTTTTACACTTTTGCAAAGTGATAATGTGCACCTTACCCAACAGAACCTAATGAAGATAATAAATCATAGAGGAAATTAAAATAAATCTTCAAAAGAAAAAAAAAAAAATTAGGATTTTGGTGATGTGATTTTGGTTTACACCCACACCCATGGTGATAGTTTTTTAGTTTGGCATTTAAACAATGCCAAGGTGCTAAGACAGTGCAGCTCCAGCAGAGATCCTGGTCCACCTTGGGTTGTGTGATAGAATATGATCTCAGAAATTCCCAGTAAAGGATCTTGGGTTATAGCGCCACCTCCAAGAGTAGGACACTAGGCCTATAACAAAGTTCCACCTTGGGACAGCCCCTGCTGGTGGCCAAGGTGCTAAGACAGTGCAGCTCCAGCAGAGATCCTGGTCCACCTTGGGTTGTGTGATATAATATGATCTCAGAAATTCCCAGTAAAGGATCTTGGGTTATAGCGCCACCTCCAAGAGTAGGACACTAGGCCTATAACAAAGTTCCACCTTGGGACAACCCCTGCTGGTGGCCAAGGTGCTAAGACAGTGCAGCTCCAGCAGAGATCCTGGTCCACCTTGGGTTGTGTGATATATGATCTCAGAAATTCCCAGTAAAAGGATCTTGGGTTTTAGCGCCACCTCCCAGAGTAGGACACTAGGCCTATAACAAAGTTCCACCTTGGGACAGCCCCTGCTGGTGGCCAAGGTGCTAAGACAGTGCAGCTCCAGCAGAGATCCTGGTCCACCTTGGGTGGTGTGATATAATATAATCTCAGAAATTCCCAGTAAAGGATCTTGGGTTATAGCGCCACCTCCAAGAGTAGAACACTAGGCCTATAACAAAGTTCCACCTAGGGGACAGCCCCTGCTGGTGGCCAAACCCTTCACCTGCCCCAGGCAACTTGACACATTACCAAGCAGTACTTTGTTTTTTTCCCACCCCTTTGATGGTCACCACTTTGGGAATTCCCTACAGTGAAGGGACTTTGTCCTTCAATGGACAAATGAGAATAAGATTGGTCTTTCGTTCACTGAAGGATGCAGCCCGGTAAGATCTCTTGGGTTATAGCGCCACTGCCAGGAGTAGGGCACTAGTCATAAAACAAAGTTCGGCCTAGGGACGGTCTCTGCTGGTGGTCAACCCCCCCCCCCCATCTGTTACAGAAAACTCAGTGCATTATCACACAGTAGCTTCTGGGTTTTTTTTCCCCGCCCCTCCATAGTCACCGCTTTGGGACTTGCTTTCAGTCAAGATTTCTGACCAGGCTATGTCCTTCAGTAAATTAAAGAGAAGTCTATTCATTTCTTTTGTTCAGTGAAGGACACAGTCTGGGTTATAGCACCTCCATGAGTAGGCCACTAGGCAGTACCTACTGTTTTTTTTTTTTTTTTTCTTCTCCCCATCCCTTGATGGCCACTGCTTTGGGATTTCCATACAGTCAAGATTACTTCATTCACTGAAGGACACAGCCCAGTAAGGACGCTTGACTGTGGGAAACCCCAAGATGGCAGTGGCCATCAAGGTGGTGGTGAAAAAAAAAAAAAAAACCCACAGAAGGTATTGCTTGGTACTGTGCTGGGATGCCTGTATCAGATGGAGGGTTTGGCCACCAGCAGGGGCCGTCCCTAGGCAGAACTTTGTCCTACTCTACCAGGCTGTGTCCTTCAATGAACAAAAATTAAAAATTGGATTTTTTTTGTGCTCACCCTTAAATTATTTTCTCAGAGTACGTTGAAGAACACCACCATTCTGAATTCTGGTACTGGTTTCACCATAATGAGCTGCCTGGAGCAGATGGGGGAGGGGAAATTTGGCCATCCACATGGGCTGTCCCTAAGTGGACCTTTCTATTACACCTACTCCTGGAGGTGGCACTATAACCCTATGGTCAAGGTTCCTTACTGGACTGGAGTCCTTCAATGAACTCAAAGAAAATAATTTTATTGTGACTACAATAAAATCCAATTTTTTAAAATTTTTTATTATTTTTTTTAGCATTGTGTGAGGTCAGATCAGAACTAGCAGCATGCTAAGATACTTCTTGTTTAATATGGAAAAGTATTCTAAGGTAGGATTGTGGTTTTCATACCGTTGATTTTTTTTTTCTTCTCAAATGTTAAATTTCTTTGCAGATATAATAAGACAGCCATCAGAAGAGGAGATTATCAAATTGGCCCCTCCCCCAAAGAAAGCTTGAAGTACGACCAACCCTCGAGGAAGAAAAAAAAAAAAAAAAGGAGGAGGAGGAGACTCAATCCTGTTTGGTCTTTGTCGTTCGTTCCATTCCCCCCTCCCCATTCTTCACCTAACGTCTCCCCGTTCTCGCTCTGCGCAAACCTACGACAGGAGCAGAGATTGGGGAGAGGGGACATGGCGCAGACGAATCATCGCCCCCCTCCCCCCCCACCAGTGACCACTAACAAGTGTCCTAACCCCTCCCTCGTTGTCTGTGCTCCGTGACCTGCAGTTTGTCCTAAGATCGTTTCGTAAGCGTGCGTTTTAAATAGAAGTATCTTATTTTTTACTTTTGTTGTGGGATAATGTGGCTAAATACGGTTTTATTCTCTTTTTTTTTTTTTTTAATTTTTATTTTTGTGGTTTGGAGATTTCTATGCAAATGGAAAAGAAAAAAAAAAAAAAAAAAGAGACCCTTGTATATTTTGCCCCCAACCCCTTAGTAGTTGTTGTGTCCGAACCTTGAGCCACCCAAGAGGCCTCTGTGGTGGGACACAGAGAGAGCACAGAATGTTGAGTTTGTGCTATGTTTACGTATATCAAGTGTGATGGCCAACCAGGGCAGCAGCCATCTTGCGAAGGTGCGCCTTTTCGGCTAAGAACCAGTGGTGTGGACAAAGGGTCGCAGAGATGGTGCTGCTTCCTAGAGTTGAAAGGCTGCGCCTTGTTTCAGGCTCGCAAGATGGTTGCCGGCAGGTCGTATGGCATGCGCTTGAGGCTGCGGTGGTTGGCTATACACTGAACAGTGCAGTAGAAACGCCCATATTTTGGGAGCCCAAATTTAGTGACCCTTACATTAATGGACAATTTGATGGATTTGGTCTAACTGCTTCCTTTGGATGATGGACAGCTCTGGGAGAGGCTTCCAGAACTACAAAGCATGCCCATGGTTTTGGATCCAGATGTTTTTGGAAGGGTGCTGTGCCGTGGTGGGATTTAGGGTATTTTCTTCTTTAGGACAAGCCTCCAGTGAAAGGAGCCATCCTCTTATACTCAAGTGGCACCAGTCCTGTTGGCCAACTTTTGGGAGAGAACTTGAGCCTCATTCACACCAGCCCCATTAGACATCCTTGGCCAATGTATTCCCAACACAACGTCAAGACAAAAATCTTGCTCTGAAGGCACCAACTCCATAGCATCCTCAGTCTGGGCTTTGCCACGTAGTTATTTTGCTGTGTGACAGGTCACACTTGGGAGGGAATTGGGCGCTCATTCCCACCAGCCCCATTGTGTCATATTGGTCAATGAAATACCAACACAAAGACAAGACAAAAAGTTGCTTTGAGTAGGGACCATTCACAGCAATGCACTGCCACGGGTTGCCTTGCGATAAAGTGATTCAGGCTGAAACAGGTTGTAATAATGCCCACTAGTGCTCACGTTATGTGCACCATACCAGGCGTTGGTGTGAATGACAGGTGCAATATTTTGATAGATCTTGCGATCTTTTTTTTTTTTTTTTTTTTATCGGAGAATGGGGAAAATAATAATGTTTTGGGACCAGGCCGGTGGGGTGAGGTGTTGACTGGTTTTCTACACTTGTTGAGGATTTTGAAGGCGAGCTCTTACTACCCATACTACAAACATTTACACTGTGGAGAATGCAGCGGGAGGGATGGAACACCTTATCAGGAGAAGGTAAGCAGAGGTGAAAAGTTCAATGCGGGGAGGGCACTCAACTTTCCAACAATCATGTCCAATGTCCACCGCCCACCCACCAACAATCATGTCCACCAACAATCGTGTCCAATGTCCACCGACCGCCAACCAACAATTGTGTCCAATGCCCACCCACAATTGTGTCCAATGCCCACCGACCACCCACCAACAATTGTGTCCAATGTCCACCAACAATCGTGGCCAATGTCCACCGACCGCCCAACAATCATGTCCAATGTCCACCAACAATCGTGGCCAATGTCCACCGACCGCCCAACAATCATGTCCAATGTTCCACCACAATTGTGTCCAATGTCCACCGACCACCAACCAACAATTGTGTCCAATGCCCACCGACTGACCACCAACAATTATGTCCAACGTCCACCGACTGCCAACCAACAATTATGTCCAACGTCCACACCCGCCCACCCAACAATCATGTCCAACGTCCGCTGACCACCCACCCACCAATCCTGTCCACCGCCCACCCACCAACCAACAAACAATCATGTCCAATGGCCACCACCCACCCACCAACAATCATGTCCAATGTCCACCGACCGCCCACCAACAATCGTGTCCAATGTCCACCACTATTGAACAAGTCCTTGCAAATGTGTTCAGATGCAGGAAAGTAATGTAAGTGAATTCCGAAATGGAGGAGGATGGTGGTGTAAAAGGAAACCTAGGATTAGGTTTAGCAACAGATCAAGACCAATCAATATTCTCTAATCCACGGGAGACCACTTACCAGCTTCTCCATCAAGCCAGCAGTTTGTAGACGAATGAGAACTGTGACCTTTCCTCGAAGAGAGATTAGTGTAGGAAACCTTGTAGACCAATTTCTAGTTCTGTTGGGCAAGAACCACAAATGTATCAATTGTAAAGCGATTTAAATCTGATCTCTGGCCTTCCCTTAAGTCTTGGCGGGCTCTTTCCCTGGCCTGAAATGGCTTACCTTGATTTCACTGCACACTGTGAGCTTCTCACAAGGTGCACTAGAAGCTGCAGGAATATAGAATTCGCTTCATTTGCTGGCAGCAGAACATCTGGCATCATCTAGCACTTTCCTCACCAGCCTGACCGCCTGACCTGCTCTTTTCATGAATCGAATTGTTTTTTTTTACACACATGGGGGGGCTTAGCATCACATGTGGGCGGTATACATGCAAATTAATTCTGATATGGAATTCCCACTCCTCCAGATTGATGCACACTCATTGAGTTTTAAAATTTAAAAGAAAAAACTCATCCCACTGCTTGCATCAGGGCTCTTGAGAGGAGCACTGAGGCAAAGTTCTGTGATGCTTTTTTAGGAAGCTGGCCCCTCCCACCAACCATGATCTGTCTCTATGACATTGATCAGCACAGAGACCCAGTGCCATCACTGGCTCTAAAATGAGGTATGTAATGAACATGTTAAGGTTTAATGAGCATAACGAGGGGGGGGGGTAAGTACAGGGGTGGACCGACAACTCATGGGGCCCCCGGGCAATAGGGGATCATGGGGCCCGTGTCCTCGTCCACACTCAAACCACACCAAAAAAAGCATATGAAAGGTACCAGAGGCATCTCATGGGGCCCCCTACTGACCCCGGGCCCTCGGGCAGTGGCCGAGTTCCCGAATGCTAAGGATGAACCAGGGAGGGCAAATGTATCAGCTATGGATGTGCTGTTGTGAAGCAAAACCACGTTCCAGAATCCTCCAGGCTTGTTCTCAGTAATGCCCACGGACCTGCGACTCTGGTCTGCATTGGCCGTGCCTGTGGTCACGCCTGGGACGTAGTTTGATTGAAAAGCGGACATACCCACATTAAAGTTTACTGCAGTTGAAAGTAGGCGCTCAGCTGCTGGGGTGTGACCTGGACCAAGCAGAAGGCAATTCAATGGTCTCCAGCGGGCAGAGGAACACCACCAACCGCTTTTGACTTCATGGCTGCTGCTGATAAGAGTTTAACTACAATGCTGGTCCATCCGATCATTCAATCCCAATCCGATCATTCAATCCCAATCCGATCATCCAACAAATTCAACAAAAAAAATCAAATAAATCAATATGTGGTAGACCGCGGCCAGCCGAGTTGAAGGAACCCAAACTCAACATGATTGAAAATCCAATTACTTTCTAATAGACTGGTTGATGAGATTTGCCGATTTCCATTCTATCCCAATTATTCCTTTAATCTGTTAAACCCAGTTGAGTTGGCAAAAGTCGATCCAAGCTTGCCTGTTGGTTGAAAAGAGTAACCGTCGGCTGCCTTACTGCTTTCAAGGCCATCAGCAATTGAAACCGAGTTGAAAGTGGATGGAATTTAAATCGCTATGTGTAGGGCCACCATAAGAAATTATGGGGCCCCTACCCCCCACTGCACCGCACAGACGGGCCCATGCCTGGTACAGGAATATCTGTAACCCCCATACCACCTGCATTGGCGGGGAGAACGTTCAACATCTGGAACGCTCCCTAGAAATCGAAGGCACCCTGACCCTGGCCTGCACGGCCACGAGGACGGAGATGACATTACTGTAGCTGAATCGGATGGCACATGGAGCATTAAAATTCAGCTCCAATTTTTCGGGAGCAGAGATAGAGAGCCTGGCTTCCGTTTTTCGTATTACCGCAGTAGAATGTTCATTGAGAAAATCCTCGGATGGGCAGGCGGCGTCTGCAGCTGGATGAACAATATGAAATAATGAGGGTGCAACGTGAGCAGGCTGTACAGCTGCAAGGGTCAGGATGCCAACAGGAAGTCTTTGAATACTGCAAGGTATTGCAATGGTTAAAGAGGCAGTACAGTTAAAGTGGCAGGATGGTTGAAGTGGCAGGATGGTTGAAGTGACAGTACAGTTAAAGCACCACTTTGGTTAAAGTGGCAGCACGGTTTAAGAGTCAGTAGGGTTGAAGTGGCAGTACAATTAAAGTGGCAGTATGGTTGAACTGACGGTACAGTTAAAGCACCAGTAGGGTTGAAGTGGTAGCACGGTTTAAGCGCCACTAGGGTTAAAGTGGCAGCTTGGTTTAAGAGTCAGTAGGGTTGAAGTAGCACCACGGTTAAAGCACTAGTCAGGAGGGTTGAAGCGGCAACATTGTTTAAGTGCCAGTCAGTAGGATTAAAATGGCAGCACAGTTTAAGCGCCAGTCAATAGGGTTGAAGTGGCAGCACAGTTTGAGCGCCAGTCAATAGGGTTGAATTGGCACCACGGTTAAAGTGCCAGTAAGGGTAAAGTGGTAGCACAGTTAAAGTGCCAGTCAGTAGGGTTGAAGTGGCAGCACAGTTAAAGTTCCAGTAAGGTTGAAGT